GGACCGAAAAACCGCCCCAAGCACGCCTTTAGTGCGCGTGGTGGGATGGGACCCCGATGTGACACCTATGACGAGATAGGCGAGTGACCCCTCAATCCATGTGCCAACCACGACAACCCCGCGAAGGTACGAATTCTTCTAAAACTTAAAACTCTGTTTCGATGTTCGTGTCGAACCGGAAAACCGTCACAAGCACGCCATTAGTGCGCGTGGTGGGATGGGACCCCGATGTGACACCTATGACCAGGTAGGCGAGTGACCCCTCAATCCATGTGCCAACCACGACAACCCCGCGAAGGTACGAATTCTTCTAAAACTTAAAACTCTGTTTCGATGTTCGTGTCGAACCGGAAAACCGTCACAAGCACGCCATTAGTGCGCGTGGTGGGATGGGACCCCGGTGCGACACCTACGGCGAGGCGGGTCGCTTATAAGTACCCCCAAACGGGGGGAAAGCAAAACTGCCTCTTTTAATAAAAATATTTTTTAAAAACCCCAAGCACGCCTTTAGTGCGCGTGATGGGAGAAAAAAATAAATACAACCGCCGCGGTGTCTGACCAACACCAACCGTGCACGTCTTTAGTGACGTGGCGGGTAGGCGGCCTCTTGATTTTTTCCCCTAAACGGGGGAGACGCCGGGAGGCTGCAAAATTTTGTCCAAAAGGATAAGGACTTGAGCTAAAAATGAACTTGGATTCACACTTGAAGTTGAACTGAAGCAGAGGACTCGGACTTGTATTTGGACTCAAGATATTTGAAATGAAATTGAATATGAACTTAACTTGGACATCAATTAGACTAAATTCAGACTTGAATAATTGAGAAAATGATTTAAGTAAAAATTCAAGCAAGAGAAATTTGGACATGCACTTGAGCTCAACAAGACTACGAGGACTTGCACTTGTACTCGGACATATACTTGGACTTGAACATTGGACAAATATGACTTAAGTGAAACTCAAATTTTAAGTTAAATTGAAAGACAGCATAAGCATCATTCGTAAGAGAAGTCAAACTCAAATGAAATAGAATAATATAAAACTTAATCTTGGACATTTCAAACTCAAGGAAAGATTTGAGTCGGACCACATGGAGCTTGATGCAAGAGAACTTGATGCAAGGGAACTTGAACTCAATTTTAACTTAGCAAATACTCCATCATATCAATGCAAATGCTAAGTAAAAATCTAGATCTTTCCAATGAATATCAATGATTAAACAAAGGCTTGCGAATTTCAACTTATCATGCTTATAATTGATGTAAGCTAATTGCAATAAGTGTAACCTCTTTCACAAGCAAGGATTAAATGAAGAAATGTAGTGTATTTACTAACAAGTGTAAAGAGGATAGTGGAGTGTAGGTGGTCGTTATCTGCCTACAAATGAATAAAGAGGATTCATGTATGGACGGGGAAGGCCGTTGCAAAGAACCTTGAACATCACGTACCCATAAGTCGTAGTATGAAATCCCTAATGAATGTTGCAATTCATCCATGACGATTATACCAATCAAAATGTTAACGACAAGTGGCAATAATGATGATGTTATCATTCATGTTATAAGCTGTCAAGACATGTAACAAAGAGATCTGCTATTTATTATGCACAATGAAAGTAGTACGATTGCAAGCAAAGCAAGGAAGATGTAGAAGAAGCGGATTACTTGTTATCAATGCAGACTAATATGTCGATGAACACACGACAGTCTACTTTCAAATAAGAAGAATATATGTGCTACAAAACCCTTGATGTATCTATAACAAACATAAAATCTGTCGTATTCATATCAATCGACCAATGAACTTGTATGTTTACGCAATCTTTTGATTTTGAGGCTTATGTCTCAAAACGCCTTGAGGCTTACGCCTCGCCTCACGAATGAAAAATGCCTCAATACCCGAATACGCAATTTTAAACATTGCATATTATCATTAAAATTATTTATTTAATAAGTTTAAATTAAACTATATATATTACAAATTAATTAACTTTTAATTGAATTATAATATAATCAACATTACTCACTCATATTTTAATTTTAAATAAATATACATAATTAAATACGAAAATTTGATTCCCACTTTCATGAATACAAGAAGTAAATTCCCGTATTTGAATTGAATGGAAAAAGTGAATTTAAATCCCACATTTGCTCATATTTAAATTAAACTTTAATTGTGCTCCTGATTAATTACACTTAGAAGTTGCTCCTTATAATTTTGCCTAGTTTGAATGAATTAATAAGATGGTGGGGAGTCTATGGTCCTACTGAGGCTTCAGTCAATTGAAAGAGATACAATGAGAAATATTCAATGTCAATGAGTTTAATGAGAGAGGACAATAAATGATCAAATAAGTTAAAAATTGAAATTCTTGTTATTGAGTTATCTCCCCTTGAATTTTGGGTTTGAAGTAGTGAGATTGGTGTTCAAGGAAAGTAATATCCATGAAATTATAAATTTTTTTAAAGGTTAAGGAACGAGACTTATACCCTTTTTTATTTGAGTCGTATTCAATAGAGATACTGTTAAAGTTAGGGTCGTGTAATATGCGGTGATACTGAGAATAAATTTGAATGAAGACTAAATACCCAATGTTTTGTGAAAGAACATAAGAAAATCATTTTGGTTTTAGAAAATAAATAGAGAAGGGTTTGAACAGGTGTTAAAATTTGAAGTACACCTGAGAGCACAATGAGATGAATAGCTATTAGAAAAGTTTTTCCCTAGAGATACTAAGGAACATTTGACCTAATCACCTCTAAAAGGCATCTAATTTTCCTTTCAGCAACTTTATAGAGGGACGTTAACATAGGACTGTTGATGGATAATCACTTGATGCAGGATAATTTTTCAAGACTGATTCAAAATATTTTTTTAAGCCTTCAATTTTGGACTGATGCTGAGTGTGGATCATGTTATTAAAATGTTTAAAAATTTGTCTTACTTTGAATTCTCGTTCTATTTAAAAAAACAAGTAAAAAGGGGAAAGAAATAAACCATCTAGCTCCAAAAACATTTTTTAAAAATCAAGATGGTCCTCACACATCATTATGGACTAAAACAAAATGTTGCAAAGGTTTGTTGGTTTGGCTAGGATAAAAATGATAGGCGTGTTTAGCCAGTTAAGAAATTTCGCATCAAACATCCTTTAAATTTTTGTTGGTGGATAGTGAATCTGCGAATGAATTAATTTTTGCAGGTAGGTAAAATTTGAGTGACATAAACAATAGTAAGAAAACCAAAATGTATTATTATTACTATTTGGAGTGCTTCTGAACTAGATTAATTGCCAACCATAAGACAAAAAGGAATTACCAATTGATGCATCGTCCATCTAGAAACAAAGAAGAAACTTTTGAAGCCATAAACAAACTGCAAACCAGTAAGAAGTGAATCATTGATGCAACCAGGTGCACCTGCCAAATAAATTTCAAGTTTTATAAAAGTTAATAGTATAGTAAAATATCTCATGAAATCAACTGCAAGAAATCACCACTAACACATACTCTAGCATAACCTAATTTCTATCACAATTGCATTACTCATAAAAGGGTAAAAGCTCATAATAGTCCTCTGACAATTCGTATGTGGCCATTGTAGTCTCTGTAGTCTCTGTGTATCACATTTCTCTTATTTAATCTCTAGAAAATACAAAATTAATATCAAAGTATCCCATGGGGATTAAATTGGGATCAATTTTATATAGCCAAGGAACTAAATGGGGAACAATTTTGACCTGCATTTGGAATCAATTTTGTACAACCAATGGACTAAATTGAAGAAGTTTGATACTCTTAGACTAGTTTAGCCACATCCAAATAATTGCAATACTATTTTGGACTTTTTTTTTCAACAATAAAATGTAAAAACATTAAAATAGATGACTTTCACATAGGAAGCCTATACTTATAATGGTTACCTTGAAAAGGAGTGGCGATAGTGATCCATTTGTTGACATACTTTGCAAAAACCTGATACATCATGTCAAAGCTTATGATATCTGTAGTATCGGGTTTACAGGATTGGTGTAATCACCAACCCAAGTCAAGAAAAGAAACTAACTTACGACATACGCTGGCAAAGTCTTACATCTTTATGAAGGTACATGAAGCACTGAACAAGTAGCCCACCCATTGAATGTGAAATTACATTCACCTTTTTCCCTCCAGAAGCTTTATAGGCAGTTTGTAGTTTCATTTTCAAACCATTCATTGCTTTGTCAATCCTGCCAACAATGATTATCTAAAATCATACAATATTCTAATGCAGTAATCCAGGGAATTCCTGTAATCTATCAGTTTACAACGGTTTCCAACATATGCCAATTTGTCAACAACCCACCTATTGCTTTGACGAAAGTCATAACCATATCCAAATAGAGTGGTTCCTTTCTTGTAGCCACAATCAATAAGCATATCAATCATGTCATGGAAATGATATACATCAGTGACGTGCAGAAGTTTTACCCACTGAAGATAAATAAAAAAAGAACAAAAAAATCAGAATTGGATAAACATGACAAATAATTGTAGGACAATGGTATATCACAAAATAAGCATAGAAACTAGCTAACACAACGCAGAATTTGGCCTTTTACCTAATGCAGCATAGAGTACTTGAATATCTTCAAATTACATTAAACAGTAAAAATAACTGGTTAATAACTTAAGGCTTCATACCATCATTATCATTATCATCATTACTCATAGTCCAACAACTTGGACCCTGATCTATGAATCCTTCTATTACATGCTTTCCAGAACATGAAGTGACTTCACAAGCCAATGTTGCCTTAACATTTTTTTATCCTTTTCTTTCATATTTCTTTTAAGGGAAAATCTGTCTTACCACTGCATCTTTTCCCTTACACTGTATACGCCAAAATCAAATAAGTTTATTTTTAATATGAATAAGTCCTAATCATACCGTTTAATTGATATATTCTTTTCTCAATATATCTTTCCTAATTTAATGAAAAATCATCTTTAATATTCTCATTATTATCACACTCAATTTTAACTGTCACTAATGTTTTCGTTGCCATCTCATATCCAAATAATGAAGGCAGTTTAATTGCAATTTTCTAAAATTACATTTTAAATTTTCATGTTATTCTTTTATAATATACGCTTGAAGAAATGCTCCATTAACCATCCATCTTTAGATCTAAAAATTATTGTTGGCTCAAGAAAAACGGCACGTCAACATGAATCTTGCTTTACAGACGTAAGATTTCATTCTATTTAAGTCATATTGTAATTAACCATATTTCCCCTGAGAATAGTATCAGGGTTTAATTAGATCTGGATCATTACTTTTCATGAGCGCAAACAATCATAGTTAATTACCCTTCTTAACATGCAAGAGAAAACTCTCGATTAAGGATGAATAATTTTTTGATATTTTAGTCTCAATTGTAGGAAAAATGGAGATAAACCCGATCAAGATCTCATGGTTCCATTGTTCCGGGTATACCGTAGGTTTCAGTCTACCAACACTTATAATCATTGATCGTAGTGTCCAAGAAATCTGATTAGCAACCATTAGTTATCTTTTTTTAGGGATCCCAAATAGACTGAGATGATTTAGATGTGAGTTTTAATTTTATTTGGTTTTGGGGTTTACATATATTAGAATACCCATAAATTAATTTAGTATGGGATTTATGACTTCGTTTAGAAGTTACCAAAAATTTTGAATTGATGCGAGTCTTATGGCTTATATTAAAAGTATCCCAATTGTGGGTCTTATAATCTGGACCTACAACAAGGCTACCCAAAGGTTCATATTTAATTTGAGAGGAGTTTCTCTTAAGTAACAGGTCTTACAATTTCTTTTGGAAAATTCCTGAAAGTTTAATTTGGAGTGGGACTTATGACTCTATTTATCAGTTATCTGAAGATGGGTCTTACAACTAGCTCTACAGCAAGGTTGTCCTGAGATTTAATTATTTGGGTAGGTCGTACAGCTTTCCTTTGGAAGCTGACTAAAAGTGTATTACAATTTAATCTTTTAGACTAAGAAGCCCGTTAATTTTTGTTTGAGGGTTTGATATTTTATTTAGAAATTTTTCAAAGAATAGATTTTACAACTCCTTTTAGAAGTTTTCTAGTCATTTGGATAGAACGGATCTTACTACTTCTTTTTTAAAGTAGCTCAATGGTGGTTCTTATAACCTAACCGTATATACGAGGCCGCCCAAAGGTTCAGATTTAATTTGAGATGAATTTCCTTCAAGTAACAGGTCTTATAATTTCTTTTGGAAGATGCCTGAAAGTGGGTAATACAATCTAATCATTTAGACTAAGATGTCCAGAGAATTAATTGTTTGTTTGTTTGAGTGTACAACAATTGTTTGTTAGCTTGACACTAGACTTTGATTTACACTAGTATATTGCATACAATTTATTGAGTGGTCATTCACTGCAAATCACAACATTTGTAAACAAAGCATAAAACATCAGTATGCATGTTTGAACCTGAAACATTTAGATCACACGGAGGCAATCTAACCACTGCTCTAAGCCCTCTCAAATGCATGATGCTATGTCCTTTTATTATTTAATGTAACAAGCGTAAGTCTATGAGCATCATCCCCTCCTAGACTCTATATTGGTGGGATATTCATCCTAGTGTAATGGTTAGGCATTATCCTCGTGATCTGAGGGTCACAGGTTCTAATCATAAAATTCACATCTCTGTATATATAGAGGTAAGCTTATGTAACTCTTCCCAAAACCTCCCACGCACGCACAAAATATACATATTTTTAATTTTTTTTTTCTAACTACTTCAGATTATTGAATGTCCAGTCCATGGTGATTGAAACTCAGAATATGCTCTTATAAAGCCGCATAACTTGTAGATAATTTCCATATTGCACGTTTCTAGAAGCACATTATTTTCTAAGTTCTTATCAGTCTAAAGGCTAGATCATTGAGAATATACCGTTAAGGAGCTTGATGCGTTCCTAAAATTCTAACAAAAAATGGAACCTATAGCATCTTAACCAGTAAAAAGTTTTAGCCACTCCAGATGCGCTCTTTAAATTTATAACCAAATGAAACATTTAGCATATCACCCAGTTAAGATATACAACTTAAACATTGATGTGGTAGCAAAAAGGAAACAAAAAATAACAGTTACGTATGATGCCACAATCTAGTGCAAAGATTCCATAGCCAACTCTCCCCAACACTCCTTACCGGGCCAAAAAATGCACCAACGGACAGTGCCAAGTAATACTGATGTTGACTGGCAAACAACTGAACCAATACCTAAACGTAAATCTAAGAACAGAGACGAAATAGACTCGCAATTCAAAACAACTTACCCAAGCGGGATCAAGAATGTCAATTGCATAAAGCCCATAATCATCATCTGGGACTACAATGTCAATATCTGGATTAAGCGTTTCCGTGTACCCTGCCAAAGGCGAGAAGCATCATCACTTGAAAGTCGTCATTTTTAACACGTAATGCCAATAACTGAAGAGAAGCACACCTGTCTCCGGGTTGTATATGGACCAGAGGCGCGTCTTGAACTCGTAATTGGAGAAGAGAATCCGCACCCAAATTCGGAGAAGAGACCCGTTCTTCTTCTGCTTCGAGTTTAAGATGGAGCCGCCAATGCCTGATACAAGAAGCACAGGCTCTCTGTCGGCATCGTTAGAGCCATCCCGCTGGCGTCGGTCACGACCGAAACAAGGCAGAGCGAGCCCACAGTCTCCGAACATCACCACCCTGAAAACTGGCCGGGAGGATCAGTAGGGTTTGAGTGGGAACTGGAAAATGAGGAGAGAAGAGGAAGGCGGAGAGCATCCATCGCACGGTTTATAAGGAGACGAGGCTTCCTGCCGTCAAAAAATGAGATAAATGTGGTAGGACGGCTTCGGATTTCTGCGAGGATACTCCAAGGCCTTCCCTCTCTTTCCCTTTCTGAGTCAGCGGCGGGAGCAGGAGAAGTAGAAGATGCGGAGCACGATACCGCAAAACAATGTGAATTTTTAAGTTAAGAGGCGAGCAAAATGAGTTTTACATTTATTAAATTTATATAATATAATTGATTAATAAATATTAGAAAATTTACATACATATCATTTTATATCATTATATTTATATATAATTTTATATCATTATATTTATATATCTAATCTCTAAAATTTTAATATTTTATGTCTTACACCTATAGACAATTTTAATATAAAATATATCACTCTTATATTTTGGATTTCTTGAAACGTCTCTCTTTTGAATTCATTATGAGATTCTTCTTTAATCTCAAGTTTAATGGTGAAGTGTCGGTCATCCTACTTGATCTGTCGCGTATCTTGATCAAACTGGCTAATGATCTTGATTATTTTATGGTGTTTTGTCATAGATCTTATCTAATATATAATGGTTACATGAAACTTACCAAGTGGTTTTCTCTTTTTTATATTGGTGTTGAATCTCCGGTGATGCCGATTTGAGTTTCTTTTCCGCGTCTCCATGCATCCTCATCTTTATTCCCCCCGTATTCTTCATAGTTTGGGTTCAAGTTTTGGCAGACCTTTGAAGATTGATTATGCCACTTCTGTTGGTTCTAGACTTTTTGTGGCTCGTGTGCTGGTGGAGATTGATATTACTAAATCATACACTAATAAATATTTGGTTAGGTCCTAAGAAGCTGGGTTATGTGCAGCGAGTTGTTATGGAAGAATTTCCTCCCTTTTGTGCTTCTTGTCATTGTATTGGTCATATGGTATGTAATTGTGGTCCTCATCTCTCTACTAATCCACCTAATATTAATCCCGATGTTTATAAACCTATTCTGAATCATTCTTCTCCCCCCTCTTTGTCCCCTACTGTGCCTATTCTTGATGGGGTGGAGAATGTAAATGTTGAATTTGATAAAACTTTTAGAGTTGTGTCCTGCAAATAAATTAGTTGGGAGTGTGGATTAATTTTAGGGGAATAATATTGTTCTTCTTAATGCTAATTTAATACCTGTTGTTTTTGCTGTGGTTGAGAAGGAATATGCTTTTTCGGCTCCACCTTTGAACGATATTTGTTTTGGTGATGTAGGGAATTCGACTAAAAACAATTGTGGTATTAACCATAAAGCTAGCTTTTCATGTGCGAATGTTGTGGTTGATTTGGGTGATTTGGTTGCGGATGTGGTTTCTGGGGATGGTGAGACTTCTAGCTTACATGTTACGCCAATCCATGTGTTGGTTGTTTTTTATGGTTATTCTCGTTTGGAATATGTGGCCCAGGATGTTGCTTCACCGTTTGTTAATTTGGTTGCGAATTTACCTATTAATGATGTGTCTGAATTATCTCCTATTTATAATGCCTCTGAGGGAAATGTTCTGTATGTTAGTATTCCTATTTCAGTTATGTCTAACGAAAAATTGAAAGCTCATGTGGCCCGGTCTGTGAATAACTCTATCTTGGTTCAATTTGATTGGCTGGATTTGGATGAGTCCCTTTCCATGCCTTGTGTGGGGGAGGAAGATGATTTTGGTGATCATGTAAATTATGATATGTATAGTTTCATGGTGGGATGTGTTGTTGATCAAGCTGTACTCAATGGCAGTGGCAAATGTCGTAAAAGTAAATCTAAGAAGAAATAGGCTTTGGATTTCTCTCTTGCTTTTACTATAGTGGGCTTTGTTGGTGAATTAGACGATGACGAGGCGGCTCCCTGCTTTTCACCTTGTTTGGTCCAAGCTTATTGGCAACCTTGGTGGTTTGCCCTTTTGCTTGATGGTTGCATGTGTTGGTTCTTGGTTATTTTGGTTTTGAGTGGCTGTCACCAAATGATGGTCCGTGTCTGGCTGTGAGGTGATTGCATGGGGCTACGATTCCTGAGTCCGTTTTGGCTCCTTTTCCTGCTTTATGTGTCTGCTTTTTTGAGTCAGCTTTCATGTCCTGTAATATGATGTTTTGTCATTTTAGTTGTTGGGTTCATGTTGTACTTCCCTTTTCCTTGTTGGAATAAAATTGGTGTTTTAAAATTAAAAAAAAAAAATCACTCTTATATTTCATTCATATCACATATACTATCCTATAAACTTTAATATTTTATTCATTACACTTATATTTGATCTACGAGTGATAGGCATGAAATATTAAATTTTTTGGTGTTGAATATGTAAATATCATGATATAAAATGGTATGTATGTAAGTCCCCTAAAAATTTATATGATTAAATTTCAAAATAGTCCTTCAACTATTCATATATCCCAAGTTTAGTCATAGAGTATAATGTTACTCTAATTTTTTCCATGAACCATATAAAATTCATCTAATTGATTCCTTTTAAACTAAATTAAGATCAATTTCTAAATTCTAATGACTAATCAACAAAGCAAATATTCATTTAAATCAATACACAAAAATAAATATAATGCAAAGATGAATATTCATTTTTTAATTGCTTTCATAATAAGAAGAACAGTTAGTAAGAAAATAATATATATTTAAAAGATAATTTTTTGCCATTTATTTCAAAACTTTATCTTTCAAAGCTATTTTTTAATAATTTTTTTTTGAAACTTTCACTAAAAATAGATTTTTAAAATAAAAATAGAAAATCTTAAACCGCCTCAGTAAGACCTAAATAAATATGATTTATTATTTTTAGCACCATCAAAATTTATAAATTTGTGGGTGCCAGTTAATTTAATAATTAAAATTTTAAAATAAATAATTCTATTCTTACAATTTTCAGATCAAATATTATTTATATTAAATTTATGTTTAGCCTATTCTTCAAAAGAACAATAATAAATTGATATCAATTTTTAGTTGTTTGCCTCTCAGCTACGAACAGTGTTGCAACTGTGTTGGAAGGGAGCAGCAGTTGGCCCGCGGGTTATCCTGCACTACTGATGTGGCCAGTCATATGTCGGTGGCGCAGCCAACTACCCACCAATTGGAGCCGAGTGGAGTAATTTGCATGGAATTCTACGAAAACCTACAACAAAAGATAAAGGAGAGATGGGCACGTGATATTTTTTTATTGGATTGTTTATTGCCTTTCATAAAATATTAAAATTATCGGGATTTTTGATAAGATTACATGTGATTACTGATTAGTTAAGGATAGGCCACCGCGTGGTGGGGGCCAGTAGAAGGCTATGGTCTACTGCGCCGCGTGTAACTTACTCCTTTGTTTATCTTCTAAGGCGGTGACGTGCGTTCCCATCGCAAGAAAAAACAGAAGAATATTTTGAGAGAATATTCCGTGAGGTCTCTAATTACTTCCGGAAGTCAATTCGCACAAATTTGTGCTATTTTTTAAATATTGTATTAATTAGAAATTTGAATTAAGATGTGATTGATGCTTAAATCAAGAAGTTTTTTCTAATTTGTTTTATTTTAAATCTATTTAAATAAATAAATTTGAGGGTTGTTGTCGAGGGATGAGAAGAGAGCCAAATTGTAATCTTTATTCTTCTATAATATTACAGTAAAATCATCATCATCTTCCCATGAATGTAGGCATCTTCGTCCAACCACGTAAATCATCGTATTCTTTATATTGACTGTGCTTTGATTCTAGGTTTATTTCCACTATATTTGCACAACAATTGATATCAAAGCTAAATTTCGGTGGAATTTCTGGTAGCGGCTTGAAGAATGAGAGATCAATCAGTTATTTCTGTTCATGTGGTTCATCCATGTGAAGGAAGAGAGCTGGATTGGTGTAATTCCGGCTTTGTGAGATGGCTGCAGACTTGGGTATCCTTTGGTATTATTATCCACAATACAAATAAATTTCTTGAGCATGTTCACATAGATATTTAGAGCCTGACGAAGAGATCACCATTAGGTGGGTGGCGATACTTTCTCTCTTTTATTGATGATCACTCCATATATATTAGTGTATGCCTTGCCCCACAAAAGTGACGTGCTGGAGATTTTCAAAACTTGGAATAAGTGGACTAAGACTCATACTGGTAAAAGGAGATGGTGTATCAGATCAAACAATGGGGGCGAATATACCTTGGATGCATTTTTGCAGGAGTTTCAAAGATATGAGATAGAGCATCACTTCACTGTTAGAGAGACACCACAGTAGAACAAGGGTGACAGAGAAGATGAATCATACTTTGGTGGAGAAAGTTCAGTGTATGTTATCCAATGTTGGGTTAGATAGAGTCTATTGGGCTGAGACGATAGACTATTCCTGTCACTTGGTGAACTGTCTGCCTTCTGCCGCTATTGGGAAGAAGACCCCAACAGAGATGTGATCGGGACATCTCGCTAGAGATTATGAGCACTTGAGAGTGATTGAGTATCCAACTTACTATAATATTTAAAATGATAAACTTAAACAGCCAGCAAACAATACAATTTTTATTGGCTTCAGGCATGGAGTCAAGAGCTTTACACTCTATGATCCAATAAAGAAGAAGATTATCATTAGTAGAGATGTTACATTTGACGATATGAGCATGTTGAAACCTCAAGACTCTAAGTAGGTGGAGAGTATTATTGGTATCACAAATGTGCTGCGAAAATTGGAGGTTGTTTCATAGATACATATCACTTCTAATTAGGTATCTAATTAAGTTACAAATCATGAGGTAGAATATGATGTCAAGGATAAGGTTCCATCTTGTAAATTTATTACGAGGAATAGGTCCATGTGCCATAATATTCCAAAACTAGCTTAATTGGGGGACTACATTGCATTTGCACTTTCAACCACATAGACTAAAGTTCCTAGTAGCTATAAGGAAGTAGTGGACAGTTATGATGATGATCTTTGGAAGAGGGCGATGGTTGAAGAGACAGTCTTTTCAGAAGAATGCTACTTGAGGTTGGTGAAACTTCCTCTAAGAAGAAAAGTCATTTGGTGTAAATGGGCATATGCAAAGAAGGAAGAGATCTATATGTTACAACCACATGTATATAAAGCCTCAAAAGACTTGATTTGCAGATTGGACATATTTTTATTTTGTGTACTAAGAAGATTCATCTTTGTTTGGTGAACATTCATGCTCATAACTAATCGTCCACTCAATAAAAAAAAACTATGCTCTACTTAATCCCTTGGGGGGGTACGTAAGCAACCATATAGGATCATTCGTTCTGATATTTGAGCCTAATTTGTCATCCTGCACGTTTCGAAGTAAAAGATAAGGTAAAGATTGTTGCTTTAAAATCTTTCCAAATCTAAATAAATTTTATTTTGAAAAGCTTTGAAGGATAATTATTATATTAATTAGGAGGTTGATTATTGCATTAATTAAAGACTTGATTGAAAATTTGATTGATGCTTAAATTAAAAAAGTTTTTCCTTCTTTGTTTTATCTCAAATCTATTTAAAGGGGTTTGAGGGTTGTTGTAGAGGAATTCGAAGAGAGAGAGAGAGAGAGAGAGCGCCAAATTATAATCCCTATTATTCTCCAATATAGCAAAATCATCATCCCTCCCCTTAGATATAGACATCTTCGCAGAATCACATAAATCGCCATATGCTTTTTGTTTATTGTGCTTTGATTCTAGATTTATTTTCAGTGTTTGCACAACATTATACCATTAAAGAGGTGCAAAGTAGTAGTTGAAAAAAAAAAAAAAAAAAGGTGGAAAAGAGAAGGGGAAAAAAAAAAAAAAAAAAAAAGAGTGGTAGTTGTACACCTTTGGAAAAAAAAAACCAACCTTTTTCAATGAGGACAACCATAACTACTTATCAATTGATTTTTATTTTATTTTTCAACAATCGATTTTATTTAAATTCAATTTGGCATTCCTTAAATGTAATCCCTCAATAATCTAGTTTCTACTCATTTAGCATAAATTCATCCACCTATCTCTCTCAACTCAAAATAATTGCAAACCACATAAATATGTTATCCAAATAGAGAGTTATGCTCATACCTCACCCATAAAATCTCATATATAAATAATCTACATAAATGCAGCAATAAAGGTTAATACTGAATTAAAATGCAGTGTTTAGGGGAGGGAAAATTATTAGGTCTGGTCACCGGTCCTAAAAATAGATCCGAACATCCAATTAAAACTTGCCACATGCACTGCACTTTACCTGCACTTTTTGACTGCGCTTTAGGTGCGCTTTTGATGCGCTTGATTTAAAATAATATTTTATTTGTGTCCGAACGTATCTCTACGTCTGTGACCGGACCTAATAATTTGCCAGATGAAGAGCAGCTCATTCCACAAAAACCTGAATCTTATCACCCATTGTGCCGTTGAACTCAAGAAGCAATTTCCCTTTAGCAGTTGTGCTATCCTGTGATGCATTTTCTAACAGTTCCATAAGATTTACTCCACCCAAGCCTGTGGAATAACAAGTCACCAGTCTATCCTATAATTCTTTTAAATTATTTTGGGATACTTTTCACACTTTTAGAAATTAAAAGAGCATAGATGAACCAATATACCTGGAATTATGCTTGACATCCCCTCTAGAAACCCAGCCTGCCAAACAGAACATGTAATTAGAAAGCTTTTAATAGAAGTTTGTAAGGGTTTATTTGGTTGGATATATTAGGGATACATTACTCCTTTTGCATGCATTTAAAATATGTTAAATTGGTCAGTTTCTAAGTTCTATACATCTAATGCCTCTAAGCTCGCCATCGTATCGCCGTTTCCAGAAAAATGATTATTCCCCACAGCCATATGGTTTAAGGCTTTGTTTGAGACATTTTTCGTACTGTTTTATAAAACAGAGTTTTAGTACAAAAATTTTATGAAAAAAAAAATTGTACTACAACTCTATTTTATAAAGCAGAAAGAAAGCTGTCCCAAACAAAATCTAAAGCTTCATAGCACTGGGGCAAGGCCTTCATCATAGTACAATATAAACAACATGCATAGGAAGCTCCTTTCATTTATATAGTATAAAACTCAACGAATGATATGCCGTTATAAACATAATAGAAGTATATGCATCAATATACTAGAGGAAATATCTACTAACCGGAATAAGGACATCAAGTTTCTCAACCCCATTGTTTCCAGTGACTTTTAGTCTGAGAGTCCGAGACCATATATCAGATGAGCGATCATTAGAATCATTTGACTTGTATCCATCATGCAATGGACTGATCAACTCAACAACAGGTTCACTTACTCTCTCTGCTCTTTGACTGACTTCTTCTTGGATTTTTGGTGTTATAGTAAATGCTGGGGAACATTTTATCAATACCAAAAGCATAAACCAAGTTAAGTTCGAGATCCACAGAATGGAGGGGAGAAAAAGAGGAAAGGTTGGTGCTAACCTTCTTCATCAGAGGGAAGGACGCCAGTGATTTTATACCGTTCTTCCTCTTTGTAATACTCATTAAACCCAACAGTTTCCTTGATCTCTTCAAACGTTGGTAAACTCCCTGGAGGAGGAATACGGCCTCCTTTTAAAGCAGTCAGTGCATCCTGAAGATAATCATATAAACTCTTTAATAAAGAAGCAAAGTGCATAATTACGAATGTGCAGAAATTTTCACATCTCCAGAAGCCCATTTGGCTGTTAAAGCTACGAGAAAATATAACTTTGTATTAAAATAAACTTAGCAGAAGTCTGTTTGATCTAAAAAAAAGAATAATAAGATCTTCATCAGAATTGATAGGAAGGTTTCTGCCTCGATTCAATCATGTGACAGAGCAAGATCATAGCTGCCAATAAGGATCCTTCAATCCGACTAACTCCATTGTTATGATGCACCAACACTACTTCATAAGAGGGAATGTAGTGTCGGACACGTATCAGTCACGAACACGTGCCGTGCCTGACATGACTAGGACACATGTCGGGCACGACATATCTATATCAAATTAAAATAATATTTAAATTAAAACAGACACAAGTGTCGGACACGTGTCCTAATATTTGATAGTTAAATTTATTTAGATTACAAAATTTGTATATTTTAATAATCTTTTAATCAAATAAAAGGTGTTCAAAGACCATTCAAACCGTATATCGATGAATACATGTCCAACTGCCCGTATGCCTTAGGGATTCACTTTACACCGTCGCTCTCCCTCGCCTTCTTCATTTACGCGACCAGGTGAGCCGACCAAGTGGAGAGAGCGCACGATTGAAGCCCGAAACCTCATCGTTTTCTCATCTTCATCGTCAGTTCTTCTCTTTTACTCTTTGTCAATTCTAAGACGAGTCAAGCCCAATCAAGCAGACTACTGCTCTATTTCAAACCCGATATGTTTGACTACAAATGTTCTCTCGTTGTTCTCTTAACTCGTTCGATTTCTTAGTGGTTCGTCTTCCACAATTTTGCAATCACCAAGGGCATCGAAGGGCTCCGACCCTTGTGTTTGCTTTATCAAAGCCAGAGGAGGGAGAGTGAGGCAAATACGTTCGATGTCGGCTTCTTTCTTTCTGCAAGCAAGTGAGCAAACTATACCTTACCAATTTATTTGATTTTTTTTGTTTTCATTTTTTCCCTTGGAATGCCATATTTATTGAGATTATCATCTTTATGTGTGCATCAGTTCTCCACTCTTCTTGTACTCTTATGAGAAGTTGAGAGCATGATATTCCTATTTGGGTAAAGTTTCAACATGTGAATATCGATACATTGATTTATTATTGCTTGTCATTTCTAATATGATGTTATATCAATTTCCATATACAAAATAAAAATTATAATGATGTGTTCGTGCCGTACCCATGTCCTATATTTTTTATGATGGTAGTATCTTGTGTCTGTGCATCATAACTCCACTGACTAAGTACACATAGGTACATGATAAATTGGGATGATAAAATTGTGGGATATTTATTGAGTTTTCATTATCCCCCCCGCCCCCCCCCCCCACC